ACTCGTCCTTCCCCCCTTTCCTGCTGTTAATTTCCTGGCAGTTTTGTCCTGTACTCCTTAGCCAGAAGATCCCCAGGCACAGATATTAAGGTACAACAGTAAGGTGGATTGGCTGCAGGCATTTTATGCTGTAGAGAATGAGACTTTTTAACACTGAGCTATGTGGTGTGAGGGGTAGAGATGGACTCTGCTTAATTAAACTGCAGCCGTACCCTGATATTCTGATGACAAACCTTAGTAATTTTTAATATCTTGTGAACAGTCATATAATAATATGATTCACTGTTATGGACCAATTGATCTTACACTGACAGTCTGTTTATTATAAAAGCTTCCCAGAACAGTCACATGTTTTTCAGCAGGTTAATGTTTGCTTGAAAAGTATGCAAGTGTCCGTTCCTTGGCTCTTGATTGAGTGCTATTCTAATTGCAGCCCCCCAAAATACCTGCCATTTTCCAGGTACAAAACAGAATTGACTCCAGTGTTTTTTGTTGTTTTTAAGCTCTGTGGTGCCCTAATGACCTGATATTAAGTGAAGTGACTCTGGAACAAGTATCAGCTGGTCTGCTAGGATGGGTGCATAGACGTATGTAACAACGTTGGGGTCTCCAACAGGATGGGCAGTGTCACATTCTTCAAAACCACTGTCTCCTGGAGAGCATCACGTGTGGCACCAGCTATGCGGTGTCACTGAAAGTGATCAGTGAAATGGGTTTTACATCCAGTTGCACATATCAAGGATATTTTTCCAGTATGTAAACTCTAAATGCAATTGGGAAGAAAAAGACACAATATACACCTTACGATGTATAGTGTTGCTCATACAAATAGCACAGCTGAAATTCAATATGTAGTTAATAGACGTGCAGTTCCCTCCTTTAAATAAATGCACCTTGGATTATTTTCACATGTCATTTAAGCCCTGTTCTTACAATAGCCATCTGGTGGCCATACAAAGAAGTTTTACTAATTTTGCCTCAGAACCATTTTTAAAATTAAAATTATGCTATGGCATAATTCCATTTTAGAGACCACAGGAGGATTCTGGGCACTCTAAAGCTAGTCCTGGTGCCTCAATAGTCAGGAGAGAACAACAATATTCCTATGTGTAAAACAACAGCTGAATTCTAGCCCCATAATATGAGTGTGATAAAACATTTTCTTCCTTAGCTCAGTTCAAGAATTATGTTGGCTTCCTGTGAAATAATTTCTCATTGAACTGCTAGTATCTAGTGTGTTAGTGATCATATCTGGTTTTAAATGCACTCTAGGAATTTATAATGTACTTTGGGTTCACAACATTTGCTTATTAATGTATCTTATTAGGTGCTTGCTGCCCTTCTGGGGTGAAGCTGTACAGATTCAGCAATACTGGTATCAGGGTACACTGGCACACTTCTGATGAAAGTATAAACTGCAATACTGGCTTACATGGCTGAAAAGGCAATTTCACCTGTACCCCTAGCTCAGGTGTAAGTCACTGCGATGTCACCGAGGTAGTTGTGGGGATGCCTACACAGTGGTAGCATCTCCAGTTGCCAACAAGGGGCTAAAACTTACATTCTGTCCTTAAAGAATATATTCAGATATTTAGATTTCTTTGAATGATGTAGTTTTGTCCATGTGTGGTAGATGGTTAAAATGTAATCCGGAGTTGTGCAAGAGAAGGTGGCATGGAGTAGAAATTTTCTATTCCAGTCTTGACTCCAGAGGAAACACCATGGGTGCTATCTTGCACCCGTATGTCTGGGACGTGAACTTCACGTCCCAGACATATGTCCCAATGCTGGGACTGAGCATACTTACCTACACAGGTGCCTTTTAACTGGATCAGAGAAGTTAATTTTCAGCTGGGAGGTTAGAAGTGGTTAGAATACAGCAACAGATAAATGATGATTTTTAATTCTTTCGGGTTTTAATTTGTTTTACAGAATTATTGTTTTTAAATAAACAAATCAAAAACTTCTATGAACCACTCCTAAGCAGGTTTTTTTTAAGTAAAAATTGTTTAAAGGGGTAGTAACTCCTTTCCCAGGGCATAGATTTAATCCATTATAAAACTACTGCTATCTGATGGGATTGCACAGTTGTGTAGCATGGACTACATTCTGCAGACTACTACTATTTTCCAGCTTACAGCCCGACACCTAACATCTATACTACTGTTCATGTCATTTCAGTGACCTGGAAGCTCTGTGGGGATGGGCAAGAGCACACAGTACATTCGTTCCAAATCTGTGACGTTTGTAGAACGTGTTAGCATCACGTCACTCCAAAGAAGATAACAAATAATATATATATATATATATTAGGTAGCCAAGGCTTGTGTTAGTGTTATGCAGGTTTGTCTCACCATTCCATCTAATACATAATTTAAAAAACAGTATTACCTGTACTGTGGCCTGTATACTGTCATGAATTCTACATTGTCACAGAATGTACTGTTTATCTCATAGCACATAATAAAAGACAGGCTTATCTTTTATAGCTTCACTGTAGCCCATTACAATATTTGTAACTAGGTCACACTTTTTATTTTTAAAAAAGTGGCTTTCCTCAACCTATTCTACCTTATTTCTTCTGAGGTTTCAACAGGATAGTCTTGTCATAATTTCTGAATTCTGTTACATTGATTTATAGAGGAAAGAGCAATGCAGAACATACCTAGATGGAAGTTCTGGTTCAAATAAAGAGGTAAATTAAGTCCAGATTCACACTGGGATATTTTAATCAAACATTTCCTGCTGCTTAAGTCGTTGGGATTGGAGGGCTAAGCTTCACCAGTCCTGTATATCCTAAATACAACTGAGGTAACATATAACATTTACCTCAGAAACCTCATGCAGTCTACTATCAGTACTGATTTGTCCTCTCCTCCCACTTAAAATAAAACTTTCACTTCATTAAGCCTTTTCTAATAATATCCTATAGTTCCCCAGAAAAGCCCTCAAATTCCAAACAGATCAAGATACTCTTCAGCACTCATTTACTTTCTCTGTGATAGCTAAAACTGCTCATCCTCTAATAAAAGTATTGGTGTTCTGGACTGTTTCCTGCCCTTGTCTCAAAAAGATGGCATGAAGTCACTGCTGACTTTCCCCTCCCAAGTTTGCTCATCTGCTGTTTGCTGTTGTTCTCTTCCAGGTGCCCTGGATGCTCTTTTCACTTTTTCTTTCTCTGAAGCTGTAAAGACAACATCTGTGCTTAACTGCAACAGTCACCGCTGCTTGAGGGCTGGGAGGAGGGAAGCTGAAGAGCTAACCCTAGCCAAGATCCAATCCAGGACACCAAAGCCAAGCCCCAGCTGATGAGATAATTTTTAAAGTGCAGATGAACACTGACAGAGGTCTCTGTAATACTGAACTCTAATTTTCCTTGTAAAGCAAACAAGTTTTAAAAGTTCTTCCAAGACAATTATTAATCACTATGTGTCTTCTAGTATTGAGTGTATCAATGAAATAGTGAAGGCTGAACTAAAAAGTGATATTTAACTCCTTTAAAAATTTTAAAAGTACTATTTAGGTGCACTCAGTTTAAAGTATCTTGAGGCTTAATCAAGTATTCTAAGGCTATTTAATTATAATTTAAATAATAAAAAAAACTTTCTTCAGTTCTGAGAGCTTTGTCCTCTTCACATCAATTACCTTGTTTTGCTTTGTGGCTAATGAAGAACTGACAATTCCTACTAAAATTTTGATCTCACATTTTTCAGAAAAGGCAGAACTTTTCCTTTTACTCCGCAGTGGTTGCTTTTTCAGCCAACATGGAAAGCAAAGTTCAAGGTTTCTATGCCCACACAGACAGTAAAACAATTACTGAAAGATACCTTACAAAAAAAGTCTTCAGAAGCAATGGGGTTTTAATACTTTTTCCAGCTTATAAAAACAGACACCATACATTCTGAAATGTTCCTTTCTTCACAGAATACAGTTGTACTGAGTATCTTGGTCACTGCTTCTGATCATTTGCATGAAGTAATCTCATGAGAATCTTACTCTTAAATAGATTGTAGATGGCCCAAGAATTACATGTTAGAAGCTTCTTAGAATGTTCTGCATTTATTCACTGTCAAATAAGTCTTTAGGAAACTTAAGTAATGCAGGGCATTTTAAAAGAAAAAGTTGAGTTTATTTCTCATTTAGTTTGAAAAACAAAATTTAAGAATGTAAAAATAAGTATTGTTCACAACTTTCTGCCTTGAGGTTTTTATTTAAATATTTTTTCTTTGCAGTCATCATTGTCAAACACTGTTACCAAAGCCTAAGCATTTAACTAGATATCTATTAACTGGATTTTCAGACATCTAAAGTCATCAGTTTCTTTTGGAATCAAATTCAAGCCACAGCTTTCTTCTGTTTGTATGAACAATTCTGATATTTGTGTGTTCAAACAGTAACTCTAATGTATTTTAAAACAACTATAAATTGATGGTGTATTTTTTCCTCAATTTCTTCCTGGCATACAGACTTCAGCATCTCAAAATTACATACTACATCCTTGACAATGCTCTAGAACTATTTTTGTCAGCTCATCTTGTTTTCATGATTGAAAACAAGAAGTGTAACTGTAACAGAACATATTATTTGCATGTCTGTTAGGAAAAAAAAGCCTGACAGATGTAGACAGCATATTGATATACCAACTAAACTGAATACCTTCAGAACGGTATCTGTGGAATTATTTACACTAATGAATTAGGTGATTAAACCCACCTAGGTTATTTCATACCTTCATTTAAAAAAAAAAAATCAATTAAATGAATAATTTTAAAGATGTATTTGTTCAAATTACACAAAGATGGAACACTTACAAAAAATATTTGTAGTTATTATTCCAAATCCAAGTTACTTGTATTTGACACAGATGTAATAGCTAAAATCTTTGATAGGCTATTTTCAGTCCAGTAAAGAAGCTGCCAAAAATCACTCTTTCCACTGGTTTCAGATTTGACCCAAAATGGCTGATATTATAATAAGTCTTCTCCCACATCCAGCTGTGGTTCGGGAAGAGACAAAAAACCAAACAAACACCAAAACCAAAAACAGCCAACTACATTGCAAAGCTTCAGGAGTGGCATTTTTTACCCTGCTTAATAGCTAGTGGACATCTCCTGAATGTAGTTATGTGCCCTTCGTAGCAGTGCAGAAAGGGCTCAAACATCTTCCAAAGCTGGTAGAAGTCATCTAATGCTTTCAGGTTCCCTTTAAGAGATCCCGGATATTTGTAGCCTGTCTTCAAGTAGTTACAGTAATATTCAGCTGTAAACACAGAAAGTATGAGCACATTCATGTTCCTTCATCAACATGTAAATGAACGTATAAAAAAAAAGGAATACATACCAAGTACCCCCCAAAGTAATCAGATTGACCGCCCTGCCAATCAAGTTACCTTTCTTTAGTAGACAAAGATCTTGAGATCTTGTTCAAAAAGGAAAAAAAAAAAAGTAAGACCAAAGTAGAGGTGCATTTATCAAAGTAGTATAGCCAGTCCAGGTAAGAACTTATAATTAAAACCACAGGACAATGTGTCAATCTGTCAGACAGACAGGTGTCAGGAGGAAGAACTATCTCAGCTAGGTAACTCTGGACACAGGGCATTCCATAAAAACTTTAGGTTCGGAGTGCTCAATTTGTTGCACTTTTACCCTGAGAACTGAAGGGTAACTTCACAGGCTCTGTCAGGCAGTAGTTCTGAAACCATACCTCCTGGGAAAACTCACACTTCCAATTAAAATTGACAGAAATTTTCTTCCAACAACCCCGAGCCAAATACCCACTGCAGCAGCTGTACTGCTAGCAACTGCCTCAGACGGGAGGCGCCACTGATTCTACCATTTCCAATCGGAGCTGCTTTGCAGAAGTTCTGTTGATCCGTTCCTTCTGGTTTCAAGGAAGGTCACATGAAGTAAAACGGCATCAGAATCACAAAGACAAGACTCCCTGGATCCAAACTGAAGAGCTGCAAAATACTAAATCCCAACGATAACATCACATGGGTCTCTTGTTTTTAAGCAATTTTCGGCCTTGGTCAGTCATGACTATCGTGCTATCCATTACAGTGCTAGGTCCTGTACATAATATAGATCAAATTAAATCCAAAGGCCAGAGACGACTATATATTGAAAAAGTAAAAGCGAAGTCCTCAAATTACCACACTTGTAACGGATACTAGCACCAACCAGTCTTCACACAAGCTGTATCAAAATGTCTGCTATCTTCGCTATAACTGGGCATCTCCACTTTCAGGTCAAAGATTCTCAAATACCTGGATTTTGCTAGAAAAGAAACTATTCTTTCACTCTATTACCCAACAATAGCAGAGGAGGAAGAGCCCTGAAGGAACACCTGGAAATCAGTAATCCATTTTCCCTGACAGAACACTGGCTTTGCAGCCTCTCTGCCCAAGAATGTACTCTTTCAAAAACTCATACCCTGAAAGTTAAAACTAATGGCCAAACTAAAGGCCAAAACAACCCCCCTCGTGTCAAATATGGTAAATTTAAGTTGTCCTCACTGTTCCAACAGAATCCATGCAATCCCTCGGCAGACTGCAGAGGCAGTTCTAATCATCTGCTTAGCCAGGGTATTTCTAAAATGGCCAACATAGTTCTCCTCCCATATTAAATGAGAGCTCACTATATTCATTTTGCACCGCAATAGATTGAACTTGTTGAAGCTTAAACTTTGTTTCAAGCTCAGATTCAAAAATCAGATAAAAATGTAAGCAGACAATACCATAACAACCTCAGTAACAAAGGATTTTGAATAATAAGGAACACGATGACAAAGGAGAGACTAGAAATTCAGAAAACAGCAAGGAAGAAGAAAAAAAGATGTCATCTTTGCTTCTCTGAATACTAGGCAATGAAGTGTGTTGTTAGAAATTCAAGCAGTGTTTGTTTTCTCCTGGAGGTTTGAAAAAAAAAAAAAAACCTAATATTTAAACATTATGCCTACATGACCTGCATCACACCAAGGCAAAAAAGGCTCAAGTATCAATTTATTTCTACCTTCAGGTCACTTCAGGAGCATGACCAAGTCTCACAATGCTCTTCCTATTTTGGGGCTGCTGCATTTCTTTGTTAGCTACATCTTCCTTATAATGTACTTATTGCATAAAATCCCTTATTCATACAAAGTGTTAATCTGAAAATGAAATGTGGAAGAACCCAAACACTCTTCAACTGGCAATGAACATGCAGGGAAAAGCTGACACCCAATACAAAGGAATTAATTGAGAGTTTATTCCAGATGGTTGTCCTCACGTAGTATACAAGTCATCAGAATAACCTATCAAATAGACTCGGACTTCAATGATACGATTTTTTTCTATAATGCATTTTGGTTTTCGCTTCTAACAACTAGTTTTAAAAAAAAATATGCCAGATGAAACGTTCAGCACAAACTGCAATCCTTTCTATTTGTAGAAAATATGACTTAAAAAAGGACACTATAATTCTTATTATAATGTTTACACTTATAAAAATGCTTTGGAAGCTTGAAACTGAAATCCTTTGTAATATTTTCTTCTTCCTACCTCCCTCTTCCCATCTCTGAATGCCTTTGTTAGCCCAGGAGTATCATAAATGACAGAGTGCAGCTGATGACTAAAAACATTAAAAGACCACAATTGGATAAACTGTTTAAAAGAAGAAAACATGGAAGCTTA